AACAAGTGATTATCGCAGCAACTGAGTACTGTTCTACCCTACTGCCAAAAAACATAAAAATGATAGAATTCCAAACACTGGGAGCCTTCAGAAACAAACAGAAGAGCACCTCATCACAAGTAATCTTCATAGGAACCCAGGTAAATTTTTCCATGAACAATGTCTGTATTCAACCAACGCAACCCCAGCCAGCGGTAGCCCATATCCCTTACCAGCCATAACTAATTATTCCTTACCAAAATCATCTGACTGCATAACTACACGTTATGTTACCTTTCAAAAACTAAAATTGGTAACAAGTTCATATTTTTTAAAACAAATATGAAGAAATACCTACAAAGCCTAGTATAAAACAAATCTACCACGGATAAGCTATAAAATGCACTAGAAGCTGATGGAACAAGAAAGGTGATGCAGATAGTAAGATCCTAAAGTGGGAATATTTCAAATCTAAGAGATATGATGCAGAACTACAGAGCCTAGTAAATATTTTAAAAGTATTGAACTAAAAGCAATAGGAAAATTTAATTTCCTCTTCTAGTAGAAATAAAAATTTTGAAAATTTTTACAATAAAGGTAAATAGATTTTAATTTATTTTTCCTAAGTATTCTCCTACCTTTTTCTATTTACCTTGGTTGCTTATGTCCTAGATTTGGTAGTTTAATTGTATTCTGGTGACTATAAATAAGATTCCCCTTGTTTAGTTCTTCAGTAGATCATTCATGATTGTTATTTAAATATTTAGATATCACTTTGATTATTAAGATCCGAGATCTACAACTTCTGGTTCTTAATAAATTTTTTCTAAGTTGTCTTCAAATTACATCATTAGGTCGAGAATGCACAGCTAATATCAAATTGAAACAAACTGGAAAAACAAAGACTGAAAGCTGCAATTGCGATAAGCATGTAAAGAAGAATTTAGTACGTAAGAAACTATTATAACAACACCTTTCGCTGGTCCTAAAGACAGCCCCAGCATTCTCCAACAAAATCTTCAGCAGCTCGAGAGCCACAATCTTCCCTTTCATCAATTGCGGATCTGCCAAGGCGTCCTTAGGCGGAGTCTTCATGGACAACTTGCAAAGCGCCCTGAAGACCAAAAATGCATCCCTCCTCAACTTATTTCCAATCTGAACCTCCAAGTCATCGTCTCTCTCTCCTTCCCCATCCGCCAACTCCCCTTTCCTCCCCTCCAGTGCTGTCTTATACATACTGATTTCCCAATACTTTGCGTCCAACATATCTTTATCCGTGGAGTCCAACAAATCCGTAGGATTTGTGGTCTCAACGGCCGTCGTCTCAAATGCACCATCATGGCCACCCAACGAACTCTTACCAGGCATCACCGGATTCAGAACCCCGTCGATATCCTGCATGATTTTTGTGATAAAACCCTGCACAAACTGCGTCATTGACCCGTCTGCGTCGGATTTCTCGACCGGGTCCATCAATTCAGCCACGACAATAGGTTGAAATTGGGACAGTAGAGGAATCGGCTTCCATTCTTCGAAATACGATCACTAACATCTGGATCAGAGACGCCTTTAGCAGTCGTCTGA